CAATAACAAAATGCGCCTTGTTTCCAATAAATTCAGGGTCAGTTATATGATTCTTTTAGTGTACAGTACAGAAGAAAATGGTCAAGAAAAGAATAAGAGGCACTTTAATAACACAGAATCAAATTCATATATATTTTCCCCTTCCAACTAGAAATCTAGTACAAAGACAAGAAAGATGGGAGATCACATATTTTTCACCCAGGAAAGAGATGCATCTGAAATCTCACATTCTTTTACGGTTACTCTATTCTGCAGAAAAAAATACTTTAATTGCAGTTTCATAAGACAACCTATAGGCATAAATTTTCTGAGAGGGTAGGAACAGGACAAGAAATTAAAATCATCATTTATTTGTATTTTTATTACAATCAGATAGAAATGTGTCTTACTGGGAAAGAACTGAAGGAAGATCAGGATGGACGATATTTAAAAAAATAAAATAAAATAAAGGACCTGCTTCATAAGAGAAGTGAATGCATCCTTCTGCAGGCCAAAGCCAATGGCTGCCATTTCAGCAACAGCCTGAACAAGAATAGTATGACATGAAAGTTAAAGAATAGGTGTAACCAGCTGCAGAAAATAAGATACACACAGTGCTGATGATTCACCTCTATTGCAGATATCATCTTATGTCCCCACGAGTTCATGGTATCTTTCCACTCAGGAAAACCTTCGGGAATTACAGGCTCAGAATTAAGCTCCTACAAGATGGACACTTGTCTATAACAAATATAAGCCCAACTGTCTCAAAATCAGAATGAAAAGAATTCAGTCAACCTTAAAGCTGGTGTTAGATGGTCGTGGACCAACTCTCCACATGTATCGCCATTTAGGATCTGGTCCAGTGGGAGCCGATGGCTGAAACTCTATGGGCATTGCTCTTAGCTTCTCCTGGATTCCTTTGTCAACTAGACTACGAGGTACTTCAACTCCATCAGGTGTAACTCCAACCTGTGAAAATATGAGAGCAAAATTGCAATTAGATTAAGTACCCTCGACCAGCAGACTATCAAACTCCCTACTTAATGGAATATTTGTAATTTCTAATCTTTTAACTATGTGTACCCCTTCTAATTAACTAACTATTCCAGCTTCTCCTTAGTAAAAATGTAAGTGAAATAAAATGAAAGGAAACAGAAGCAGTTGTATGACAAATGATATTTTCTTATTTGCATTGAGAACTCAAGCTAGAACATGCTGGGCTAACCAAGCTGCACCTATAAATCAGGACAACACGAAATAGAATAAAACTACTATTTAATGTCTAAGTTAAGAGACTGTAACTGACAGAATTTGCACGATCGAAGAGATATTCTTCAAGTGCTATTTCTATCATGGTTCATTTGATTACATCAGCCTCTAATTTAATTTCGAGGTAAGTTACCCATGGAATGAAATTGCCTACAAGTCTTAGTTAAGTACAGATAGCACTAGTCACAAGATAAGCATCAAACTGAAAAGCTTACCAACAACTCACTTTTACAAATAGAACAGTAATTAACTAATTGCATTTATTTCTGTACATGGGCATCTACAGTGGGGTCAGCTTGACCCACACTAAATTTTAAATCCAAAAATTTTGCACAACATTTTCCAAGATTTTGCACACGATATTTTGCCCCCACAAATAATATTTTGCGAAATTTGCTGCCCACAACTCTAAAATTCTAGCTCTGCCCCTATTTCTATATGTGTATTTTTAATTAATGAAAGATGAGCTCAGATGTACTTGTTAGAATGAAAATGTGAGTCACCTATCTGTTGTAGAAAAAGGAGTATACCAAAATGACAGCACATTAGTGGTTCAAATTTTGCTCATTAAAAGGGAAAAAAGGGACTTCATTATGATTACAAGATTGAATGAGGCAGAACAAAAGTGCAAGGAGAAGGAAGGTGATGTTCCTAAGACAGATTTAAAAGTATGAAAGTGTAGTCATGCCCTTCATTTATTTTGTTAGGGAGTACAGTAGGATTGCAGCTTCGAAGAGTTGTAAGGTATTGTAACTGTAATAATAATGTCCTAGTACTACTTTTTGCAGAAATGACACCTTCTGAATCATGCTTGTCTCATATGACCTCTTAATGTGAATAGCACTTGATACTGGGACAACTCTAGCCCAATTATAGCAATTTAGTCAGCAAGGAAAAGAGGCTAAAAAGGTATAATACTAATGAAAATGTAGAGTTCAAGTGAGGACATTATTAGTACTAATCCAGTCTGAATTTTCGTTTCCAAATATAGCAGTTTAGTACTGATTTATTCTGGCATCAATCTTTGCTTGGTTTAACCATTTGAAGAAGCAAACTATGGACCTTATTTCCAGCTTCATTGTATTTTATGAAAAGGAAAACCCACCCAATTCTTATGCATACAAAAATGAACTAGTTATGTATGTATTAATATGACTATAAGTATAAAGTAACATATATTAAGATATTTTCTACTCGACATTGGAGGAACAACTCTCATACACATTCAATCATCACAGTATTGAAGTCCACTAATCAAATATCCAGTTGAGCACAATCTTAAACATTAAACACTAAAACCATCATATGCATAAAAATGACTAAATCAGCACGGAATTGGTGTCTCAGAACTATAATATACGATCCAATTTAAATTTTTAAAACTGATTATGTTATAATCCGAATTAGAGACCCCAATTACACACTGCATAATGCTGCCCAAACTAAATAAAACTTTAAGAGAGACCTGATAATGGAGGTGAGGGCGTTCTTGAAGGCGTTTGAAATCGTCAGGCATTTCAAAGTATTTCTCCATCATATCAATGAACAAATCATTGTCGTGAGTTGTGCATCGAGGATCGTTGACTAGTAATGCTCCCGTCTCCCTTAGGGTTCGGCTCACCTCCGAGCACAGACACTTCAGCTGTGGATCCAGCTCTTGTTTACCAGAATCTGAGAATTCCAAGTATGGAGCCAGATCGATAACCGGAATTTCCATTTTTCGATTTTTTACTGGAGATTCGGAGCGTTGGTGAATGATTGCTCCTCTTTTCCGCACCGCCCTGTTTCGCGCTTAACGTTAGTAGTGATATTCATCAATTCGTGATTCTTTTGGGAAGAAAACATTCTTTCATATTTTTGGAAAGAAAATTAGTTTTCTTCCTCAATCTTTGCTACAAAAAGTTAAAACCCTGTTTGTCTTCCTTTAAAGTATTATTTAATTTTCATACTCATTTTTAATTTCAGATTCGTACAATAAAATATTTTAATTATTTAATCACATATTCTCAAAAATATCACTATTAAAAATATCATTTTTAGTCACTAATGGTTATCAAACAAGGGCTAATAAAACATTTTTTTCATAGTTTTGATGAGGAAATTTGCACTTTTCTTCCTCGATGTTGGCTACATAAATGAAATGTTAGAGAGGAATTATACTTCAAAAAACATTGGGGTAGATTTATTATAAGGCAGATGACACACTTCAATAAAAGTTTTGCTATGTGTACACTAGGGGTGTAGAACCTTATTATGCAAGGGCACCTCACAGTAGGAGGATCCACGATTTTTTTATCAGTCGTGGACCCCCTATTGTAAGACATTGTACACTAGGGCATACACCGTTGGTGCACAAATAACAAAATTCCTTCAATGATACTCTTCTTTTTGTGATTGTTTCAAGTAGAAAATATCCTTGAGAAGGAAAATGTACAATTTTTGTTTCCCCGTTTGGCCTTCATTAAAACTATAATTCATTTTTCTTTTTTTTATCAATTATATATTCTCCAATAAAATAATATTACACACACTCTAAAAAAAAAAATTTCTTTTTTAATTACATATTTAAAAAATATATATTTCAACCATTAAAATTTCAAACAATGGAAGCCAAATGAGAGCTAATCTTTGCAAAATAAAACCCCGTTTGGCATTATTTCCCATTTTGTAGAAGATTTATGACTGTTGGTAGCCGTGATTTTTTATCATTGTCTCTCATGGTGGGACTCAATTTTTGAAAAAAAAGGTCAATTTTTTCATCTTTTCCCTACAATAATGCCAAACAAACAGGGGCTCAATCTTTGTGTGAAATAAAAAATTAGAGAAAAAATTGCAACATGAGTCTCAAATTTTATCAATCTTCTTCCCCGAGGACTCGTCACTATCCCCACCTCACAACTCACTAGCCACTCATCACCTTCGCCATCACCAGGGGCGGATGAGTGGGGCAAGTCATGACATTTTTAAGGCATTTTTTTTCCTACACATTAAATCAATAGAAAAAATAAAATAAAAAATCCCCGCCCCGCCCCCAAAGATTTGTTGAACCCCTAATGTGAAACAAAAGAAAAAAAATTGACAAAAAGATAATTAATTTGCTACGGGGCTTATTGTGAAAGCCCTATTGATTAGCTTACTGCATCATTTTCCATTGACGACTTCGGGCAGTAGAAGAGGCGATTTGGCGATTTTATTATTCGACACAGCCTTGAATTCAAGTCAATGGCCTTTACAATGACTTTTTAAATGCTAATTTAAGGATTATTTAAAATGATCGATGATTGGTTGACTTTTGCAAGTATTTTAGAAAATTCACAATCTTTTTTCAGAAAACTCTCAAACAATTGATGAAATTAGATAAGTTTTAGAATTGTTGAAAATAATAATTTGCAGTGTAGAAGAACCATTCGTTAGCAGAACTTTTTACACAATGATTTTTGCGCTGAGATTTTGAAATCAAATGAGAGTAAACAAAGAGAAGGTCCCCTACCCCACAACATGCAACATTGGATGTAAGATGTTGATAGCTTTATTTTTATCGGAGCAAATGATATTTTGTAGTGTATACACAATTAACTTATTCATTTTTACTCTCAATTCAATGTTTCAAATATTGAATTAATATTTGCTGGATAAAAATGACAGAGAAATTGAATATAAACCTTCCAATTCATAGATAAGCACTCAAAGGAAATTCACAATACTAATAAACCAGTGGTTTAAACTAACAACCCTACAGGTCACCCAATTTAAGCCCTTTCACCCCTGATCCTCCTAGCAAGCTGGATGTCCTTTGGCATGATTGTAACCCTCTTAGCGTGAATGGCACAGAGGTTGGTATCCTCAAACAGTCCAACAAGGTAGGCCTCTGCCGCCTCCTGTAATGCCGCCACAGCGGAGCTCTGGAACCTCAGATCGGTCTTGAAGTCCTGGGCGATTTCACGGACCAGCCTCTGGAAAGGTAGCTTACGGATCAGAAGCTCAGTGGACTTCTGGTACTTACGGATCTCACGAAGTGCAACGGTTCCAGGGCGGAATCTGTGAGGCTTCTTTACTCCGCCGGTGGCTGGGGCGGACTTCCTGGCAGCCTTGGTGGCAAGTTGCTTCCTCGGAGCCTTCCCTCCGGTGGACTTGCGAGCAGTTTGCTTAGTACGAGCCATTAAATATTTTGAACAAAAAATGGATTTTGAATCTAGAAAATTTTTATGTGTAGAATGCTGGGAATTGAGGTGATGGTTTCGTTAAACAATGGGGGATTTATATACAGAAATGGAGGCGCGGGAGGAGAAAATTTCAGGGGTGATTTGAATTTGGGGGATTCGGAGGGCGGTTGATCGAGGAAATGCATGGCTGAGATTACAGGAAAGAGGCAAGTTCAGATTGTGATCCGGTTAGGGGTCAATAAGCCAATGGTCACTTGCCACGTCACTTTGCGAATTGTGAGGTCTTTGTCAGCGTTTTGCATTTCGAATTGTGCGATTTTTTTCCATTTTCCCGCCTCGGCGAAATCACCCTCCAATTTCAGCCATTTTCCATTATTTTTAAAATGTATTTTTTTCTCTCATATTTTTCACCATACATTTTTCAACAAAATAATATTACAAATAAATTTTAAAAAATTCTTATCTTTTAATCATACATTTTTCATCAAATTACTGTTTCAAAATGCATTTTTGAACAAAAAATGGACTTAAACAGGCTCTCAAATTTGAGAACTATTTTAGGCTCTGTTTGGAAGGTATTAGAGTTTTCTACAGTAAATCAATTCTCATTTTCAACCACACATTTTTCAATAAAATAATATTTTCCATCACATCAATAATTTCTTCTTCTTTTTCAACCACACATTTCACATCATATCACTATTCAAAATCAATNTGGTTTTCGTCCAAAAATTCGTTAATTGATAAAAAAATCAAACGTCTAATCTTAGGCCCCGTTCGGGAGGGCTTAAAATCCAATTAAAATTGAAAATATGGCCGTTATTGGGTCCCACCCGTCTAATAAAAGTCAACAATAACGGCTATATTTTTAATTTTAATCCGATTTTAATCCCTCCCATACAAGGCCTTAGTCTTAGTTGTTTTTTGATCGAAAGTTTTTGTGCAATATTTTATTTTAGATATGTTAAAAATTTAAGTCAAACAAGTTCTAAGAACTATTTTTAGTTGTTTTTACATTGGAGAGAGTTTAGTCTCCGTTTGTTTCTCATTTTTCATCCATAAAATGAAAAATATGATCGTTATTCATCACATCAAGTCATTAATTTTGAATTTCTATTTCTTGTGTGGGGTCCAATAACAACTATATTTTTCATTCTCATTCTACAATAATGAGAATCAAACGGACCCTACTGTGTAATTTTTTAATTTAGATATGTTAGTAAATTTATAAGGTTAATATTTTTTATATAAGTCAAACAAGTTGTATACAATTGTAAACAAATTAGTCCCAACTATGGCAGCTCAAACTCAATGACAGCCCAAAAATTCTAGGGTTGCGTTTTGATAAAATTGCCAGAAATTATGTTTTTCAGTTTTAGGGTCTATTTGGTACAGATTCTCATTTTCTACAGTAAATCAATTCTCATTTTCAACCACACATTTTTCAATAAAATAATATTTTCCATCACATCAATACTTTTTTCTTCTTTTTCAACCACACATTTCCCATCATATCACTATTCAAAAATCAATTATTCCCCCAAAAATCTCTACTAAACACACTCTTAGTTTCAATAATCTGGTATTAACTTAAAAAATGTATATAATCAGGTTGATTTGTGAAGCTTTATTTACAAATTTGTTAATTTTGAAATTGTATTCATAAATTATTGTACGGGGAATTACTTATCCAAGGCCAAAGGAAGCACAATATTTATGAATGACCATAATCGTCCACTCTTCTCAAGCATCTTTATTATTGAAAGTTTCATCTGGTCGATCCATATTTGACCAAACCTTGATCGAGTCGAGCCATATTTGACCAAACCAAACGTCTCGAGTCGAGCCATATTTGACCAAACAATTTTTATTGATGTGGAATGATTTGATTGAATCAATCAGCCACTTTTAGTTGCGGGTTATCGCACTTACGAATGTTTGCTTCAGCTTCCTAAGGTTTACCTATGATTATGTGGTTTACATGTCCGGGGCATGAGTTAATCAATATTTCTTTGAGTTTTTTTGTTATTAAACAACTGTTATTTTTTGAAAACTTGAAAATTATTGTTACGAACATTTATCATTAATTAATTATATTTAATATAAAATTTGTTTACCCAAAATATATCAATAATCAAAGACATAAAAACAACCAAACACTCCTGTTGACACACTAAAAGTGCAGCTCAAATTAAATGGCCCAAAAAAGGAAGTTTAGTTGAGAATCCGAGATGAAAGCCCAATCAAAGGGGAAGCAGCCCATGAACAAAGGAATATTGTCGCCCAAGCTTGCAGAACGCCCAGATGTTAAGCGAGTAAAATGCCTTATGGACGCCCAGAACGAAGGAGTCGTCGCCCAAGTTGCTGGATCGTCTAGAATCCTAACGATGACTAAACTCTGCGATCATCTAAAAGTCACGGTTTGAGACAGTTTGAGCACATCACGATTACATCCCACGATTTGAGAAAATTAGTGACAAACGGTTATGAAGAAAACTTAGTGGTAGGAGTTACAAATGGTAGTTATTGGCCAGTTAGCCACTATGAAAGAAATGGGTAGTTATGAGCAGAGTCCAAACGATCTAGAACTGCCCAAGGAGTATAAAAGGAAGAGGAAGGCAATGAAGAAAACCCCGACAAAAATTCACTCTCAAACAGAAAATATGTAATTTACTTTTTCTTAGATTAATTTTAATTACTTCAATTCCCTTGTACTTGTGTGCTTGCGCCCCTTGGAGGCATCTTGTTCGTATCCAAATTGTAATCTTCATATTCGATAAACACCCCTTTTTGGGACTTTATTCCAAGAGGTTTGTCCCTTACACAATCGTCTAATCCCTTTTTAATTGTTAGCGAGTAACCGCGCGAAACAACTCCATAATCCCTAAATCAATGGTAGAATTCCAAAACCACCAATACCCTCCATAACTACGATATCACATACCAATTTTCTGCAATAAAATTAATTTTCTATTTGGGCCTCATTTTTCAAAATTAATTTATTCCCAAACTCATTTTCAACAACAAATTTCATTTGGACTTACAAATTTTATCAACTTTTAACCAAATATTTCATCAATTTTTATCAAAATCTACTAAAAATCTGATTTTTAACAAAGCCAAGGTTATATTTTCATGTGAGTTTGACATTCAAGAATATCCCCATGGATTCAAAGCCAGGGTTATATTTCAATCAATCGATGTTAAAGGTAACTCTGTATTCATTGGATGTGACTTTAGTTTTTCTTGTTAATTTGGGCCTTTAATTAGGTTCTTCTCCATTTCAACTTTTTTCTCAGTTCGCGAGGGAGGACCGAAAAAAGTGAATACCCATTCAGGAATACTAAAACGTAATAGTAAGATCAACATACTAATTTATAGCTTGTTTGGGATAGATTTTAATCCAATTAAAATTATAAATATAGTCGTTATTGGGTCTCACCCATCTAATAAAAGTCAACAATAACAGCTAGTTTTTCAATTTTAATTCGATTTTAATCCCTCCCAAATAAGCTCTTAATTAAGGTTCTTTTAAATTTGAGATATGGCAAGTGCATTTCTACTTGTTGAAAATATATTTACCCTTAACCTCTTGTTGTAACCTCAGTCATCTTACTTCATATGTCTCGAAGTTCTAGAGAAAAGTATATTCCAATGTTGAACCATGGACCCCGTCTGTATAGCCACCAAGAACTTGTCCACAAAGTGGAAACTTAAAGTTAAAATAATCTGATAATCAAAATAATATAGTCTATTGACAAAGAATTTATCGATAAACGAAAGGTTAAGAAAAGAATAAAGCGCAAGAAAGTCATCTTTAGAGTATTACAAGCTTCTTAAAAGTTCAAAAACACTGTTGCTTTTGTTTCAGTTCTATGCTTGACTGCTAATTGATTCTCTCCATTTTCTTGTGCTTTTTCACACTGGCATTGCTCCCCTAGGAAGAATAGAATGTCCTTATTAAAGTAAATGTTTATACACAACAGTTCCTAAGATGCAGCAAACAAATTCTCCAACCATCTGTTTAAAACTCAAGTCAGAATATACTATAGACCCATGATTTTTTTCCGAGGTGGTACACAGTAATGGACAGGACTAATCAGTACATGTTAGTGATTTGTGACTAGAAGGGAACAAATAAGATGGTTCTAGCATTTGCTGAATGCATAAATAACGTAAGAGATGAAAAACGTACAATGTCACGATGTATGTTTTATGGCACATGTATGCCTATCTATCTGGTTTATCCTTTATGATGCTTGCTCGAGAAAGGAAGAAGGTAAAAGAGAAGCTGTAATTGCAGAAGAAGCATTTGGAATTTTTTTTTTCTAATGGTTTCTTTTTCTCTTGGTTTTGTACTGCCCAAAGCACAAAGCCATGATTCTGCTTTTCACCTGTCACGTGGATTGATGACTCTCTTTTTATCACTTTACTGCAAATTTTATACCTTCCCTCCAATTGTGTATCCATAATTGCTCTTTCAGCATTCATATAGGGCGTCTTCTGCAAACCATTCTTTTCTTTTGTCGTCTAGCTGATACAACATTCTTCACACAGAGAGAGAGAGAGAGAGAGATCATTATTCCTTTCTTGAGCTTATTGCCTTTGCCACTGCTTTGCTTTGGAAAGAGTTAAAAGAATTCTTGAGGGGAGTCACTACCTAAAGGAGCAAGACGAGCAGAAAAGGAGCATGAAGCTAGTAGTAGAAGTAATAGATGCTCATGATCTTATGCCCAAAGATGGTGAAGGATCAGCCAGTCCATTTGTAGAAGTTGATTTCCAAAACCAGATTAGCCGAACCGAAACTATCCCAAAGAATCTCAACCCCATTTGGAACCAGAAACTTGTCTATAATTTCGACAAAACCAGAAACTACCGCCACCATTTTATTGAGGTCTCTGTTTACAACGAAAGGAGACCGATTCCAGGCAGAAACTTTCTTGGAAGGGTCAGAATTCCTTGCTCAAATATTGTTAGGAAAGGAGAGGAAGTTTATCAAAGTTTTCAGCTACAAAACAAATCCATTTTTACGTTCGTCAAAGGTGAAATTGGCCTAAAAATCTATATCTCCCCAGAATCCAAGCCAAAATTTGTGTCGCCTATTTTACAGTCATCACCAGCACATACTAATCCTCCTAAACTAGCCATTTCTGAAAATACACACCATACTGATTCACCTCTTGCTCTTTCTCCTACTCAAGCATCTACTGTAAAAACTGTCAAAGCTAAACAAGTAACCGATAACTGTGCAGTTTCCTCACTTGAATCTCAAAGTAATAAAACTAAATCAGGTAACGATTCTCAAGTTCAGGAGCCCAAGGTTGTGATCGAAGACCTTGACGAAATTAGAGCAGAAACTATTCATCACGTTCAAAAACATCAAGTTATGCAGCAACCGCGTCTCTCACTGAGGAGGAGACCAGAAGGTATCCAATCAACAATGCAGCGTCCAGTTAATCCACAACCTCATCCAAGTCCTCAAGACGAGTATGAGGTGAAAGAGGCAAGTCCCCAGCTAGGTGAGCAATGGACGAATGGTGGAGCTTATGGTGGAAGAGGCTTGATAAATGGTGAAAGAACAACAAGCACATACGACCTTGTTGAGCAAATGTTTTATCTTTATGTTCGAGTAGTTAAGGCCAAAGATCTTCCACCTAGCCCTGTCACTGGAAGCTGTGATCCTTATGTTGAAGTGAAACTTGGTAACTATAAAGGAAGAACAAAAAGTTTAGAAAGGAAGACGAATCCTGAATGGAACCAAGTGTACGCATTTTCTAAGGAGCGTATCCAATCATCAGTATTAGAAGTTTTCGTGAAGGACAAAGAGACGGTGGGAAGAGATGATTACTTTGGAAGGGTGGTTTTCGACCTGAATGAGGTTCCAACAAGGGTTCCACCTGATAGCCCCTTGGCTCCTCAATGGTACAGACTGGAGGATCGACGTGGGGAACGGAAGGTGAGGGGAGATATTATGATTGCAGTTTGGATAGGAACTCAAGCTGATGAAGCATTTACAGATTCTTGGCATGCTGATGCTGCTTCTGTCCATGGAGAGGGAGTTTTCAACATCAGGTCCAAGGTTTATGTCTCACCAAAACTTTGGTATCTAAGAGTAAATGTGATTGAAGCTCAGGACGTAATTCCTAACGACAGAAGCCGTCTCCCAGAAGTATTTGTGAAAGTCCAGGTGGGAAATCAAGTGCTCAGAACTGGTATATGCCCAACTCGAACTGCAAACCCAAAGTGGAATGAAGATTTAGTTTTTGTAGCTGCCGAGCCATTTGAGGAGCAGCTTGTACTAACCATTGAGGATCAGGTTCACCCTTCAAAAGACGATGTGTTGGGATCAATAGCTCTACCTCTTTTTACTTTTGAAAAGCGACTAGACCACCGACCGGTGCATTCTCGCTGGTTCAACCTTGAAAAGTATGGGTTCGGTGTCCTGGAAGCTGATAGGAGGCAAGAGCTCAAATTTTCAAGCAGAATACACTTGAGGGTTTGTCTTGAAGGTGGATATCATGTACTGGATGAATCAACGTTGTACATAAGCGATCAACGCCCAACAGCAAAGCAGCTTTGGAAGCCACCAGTGGGAATACTAGAAGTAGGAATATTAGGTGCACAAGGGCTTCTCCCTATGAAGATGAAGGATGGCAGAGGAACTACAGATGCTTACTGTGTGGCCAAATATGGCCAGAAATGGGTTCGAACACGAACTATTCTCGACAATTTCAGTCCCAAATGGAATGAACAGTACACTTGGGAAGTCTATGATCCATGTACAGTCATATCATTGGGGGTCTTCGACAATTGCCACTTAGGAAGCGGCAAGCTTGGAGCTGGTGGATCACGAGATTCACGGATTGGGAAGGTACGCATAAGACTATCAACCCTGGAAGCTCACCAAATCTATACAAATTCTTATCCTCTTCTTGTATTGCACCCATCAGGGGTTAAGAAAATGGGTGAGCTCAAACTTGCAATTAGATTTACTAGCTTGTCCCTGGCTAATATGATACATGTTTACGGGCACCCATTATTGCCCAAGATGCATTATTTACATCCTTTCACAGTGAATCAAATAGATAACTTGAGATACCAGGCTATGAATATTGTTGCTGTGAGGCTTGGTCGAGCAGAACCTCCATTGAGAAAAGAGGTGGTGGAGTACATGCTGGATGTCGATTCCCATATGTGGAGTATGAGAAGAAGCAAGGCTAACTTCTTCCGAATCATGTCACTTCTCTCCGGTATGATATCTATGAATCGATGGTTTACCGATGTTTGTCACTGGAAGAACCCGATCACATCAGTTTTAGTCCATATTCTATTTCTGATATTGATCTGGTACCCCGAGTTGATACTCCCAACGGTCTGTCTCTACATGTTCCTCATAGGACTATGGAACTATAGGTATCGACCGAGGCACCCATCTCATATGGACACAAAGCTTTCCTGGGCAGAAGCAGTGCACCCTGATGAGCTTGATGAGGAATTTGACACATTCCCCACCTCTAGGCCACATGATGCTGTTCGAATGAGGTATGATAGGCTAAGAAGTGTAGCAGGCAGAATTCAGACAGTAGTGGGAGACATAGCCACACAGGGGGAGAGATTTCAGTGTCTTCTTAGCTGGAGAGACCCCAGGGCAACAAGCCTATTCATTCTATTCTGTCTTTGTGCATCGGTGGTTCTTTATGCGACTCCATTTCGAGTTGTGGCTTTAGCTTCTGGATTGTATATGCTGCGGCACCCCAGGTTTAGGAGCAAGTTACCATCTGTTCCCAGCAATTTCTTCAAGAGATTGCCAGCTCGAACAGATAGTATGCTCTGATACAACATATCAAAAGCCAGTTTGATAATGTCTCACCTTTTCGGTTTATCATCTATTTCCCATATTAAGCATATATACATGTACTAGTAAAAGTTTGTTCCAATAAATGAAATCATGTATTTTACTGATTTCTAGTTTAAGGTCTGTCATTGTATTTACTCTACTTTGTAACTCGCATATGCCGTTCGGGATATATAATATTGAACAACACTGCAAGAAAAACAGAAAACATTTCAACTTTCTTTAATAAAATATTGCACATAGTTTACGGAGTGTAGTAAATAAGATGTAAATTTAAAAAAAGAAACTGAAGGTGAAAACTAGGATATGTGAAAAATAAGAACAAAAATACTAAATAAATTTCAAAGGACATGCTTACAGCAGCATAATAAATCACATGAAAGAATGTGTCAATCATAGTAACTAGCAAGTACAACAGGAAAAAATCTGCCCGAGTAAATACCAAGCTTTGAGAATATAATGAAGTAATTTTTCTTGGATTGTCTCATCCAAGATAGAATCCCAAATATGAAATAGCAAACTCAATGACCCCAACATAGATTCTAACTCGTGTATTAGCAAACTAATCAAGCAACCACATTTACACTGAAGGACGAGAAAGAACATTCAAGAATTTTACATGGTTCAGCAGAAACTGTCATTCATCCATGTGAGCTCAGGTATCTGAGAATATAAAGAATCAAACCCTAATTCTTGCAATTACATTGATGGCAATATGCCAAGACACAGATTGCCAACAAAAACAGAGAAATTTCAAAAATTTGGCTGAATTTGGACATGAAAAGTGCTTATAATTCAAACCTAAACACTGATCTTCAATTAGGCACAACATGAGCATTTCATCAGAGACCTACAAGAACTATTTTTATACAATCAACGTATCAAAGCAACTGACTTTGCAATTAGATGTGGCATATAATATGCATGGGTTAAACATGTTGAGAAATCACCTGTTCTACAAACATCAGCAATGCATGATAGTTTGACACTTTGACTTGTATTACCCACATAACTAAGGGTCCGTTTGATTGTAAGGGTGGAAAATGAGCGGAAAGAAAATAAATTTCAGGGAAAGTAATTGCCTAAAAATTATTTTGCGAGGAAGTATGTTTGATTGATATAATTTTCCACTCGAAAAATTTTTAAATTTTGTGTTCATTTGGCTTTGTTTTACATGAAAATTGTC